AAGATGCTTCACCTTAACTACTGTCTCTCTTACTTGATTAAACCAAGGTAGATGAACTAGAGGGAGACAGTGATTCACTTCTCTCTCTTGTATAATCAAACTCATGACTTGCAACAAAGTAAAGCCAACATGCTCGTATTAGCAAGCCACGAGTTCAATGAGACAGACGGAGAGGGAGATGAATGAGAGATAGATGGAGAGGGAGATCAATGAAAGATGGAGAGGGAGAAAGATGTTTTCATATTATAAATAATATAAAAAAGATAGTGGGACCCACTAAATAATATTTTATAAAAAATATTAAAAAATTTAAATGTGGGACCCACATAACATAAATAGTGTACAATTTAACATCAGGAGCACAACCATTAAATTTTCATAGGGTTAAGGGACAAAATTTACCCCAAGTTGAGTTTAAAATTATTTATGACCTTTCGTGTATAGTTCAAAGATGAAATTGACCCTTAACCCTTCTTTCTTTGGTGTATATGCACCTTAGTTTAGACTCAAGTAATCTAATCTCACGTGACTAATCAAGTAGACTCTGCTATGCCTAAATCTTTTAAAACTTTGACCCGAGGACTCTATTATTCTGGTATATTATTTATGTCTAATATTCCTTTAGGATATTTTATATTTTAAATAATATTGAAATAAAAATGATTAATTTTATACTATGAATTTAAAAAATAGTTAAAATGTTCATTGTTTTACAGAAGATTCTACGACTCAGTTACCTAAAAATAATAAAAAATTCTCAGCAATGATGTCCAATAAAACTCAAGTTGTGTTTGAATTTTAGTTGAGTATAATTAATTCTAAAAAATTGATTAATATAATTAATTATGAAAATTGTAATTGAAAAGCTAATATTACTCAACATCATCTAAAACTCAATTAACATCGAAATAATCAATTGTGGGTGAAATGGAGCATTTGGGTATTTTTAACCCAAATCATGATTTTCTTCGCAATAATCAATTTAAATGGGTGTTTCCAAACAGGTAGGTTTTCAAACTCCACTAGATCTTCTTCCTGGACAAAGGGAGGATTAGTGAAAATCTGTTTTGTCTTCGTTGTTTGATTACATTACAAGTGTTGTTTCGTTTTCCCATTGAATTGTTAGTTCGTTTTCTGCGTTCTTGTATTGTATCTGTTAATGAATAATAATACTTAAAAAAAAAAAAGGCTCCTAGACTATAAATCTAAGAATAACTAAAACTCTAAAAACATTTTTTCACACTAGATCTTCATTCAACTTTTAAAAATTAAAAAAAAATATATCCCCTATCATTAATAAAAGTTAATTTTATCATTAATTAAAAAAATGATAGAAAAATATTTCAAAAAATATTTTAAAAAAATGATTAATAAAAGAAAAAATTAATCTTTTAATCCTTCAACTTTTAACTTACTTGTAACTCAGTCCCTTAATTATAACTCGCTACAACTCAGCCTCTCAAGTATAACTCGTTGCGACTCAGTCCCTCAACTTTTGATTTACTTATAATTCAGTTTTATTTTTTAATTTTTTTAAAAAATTTTCTTATCAAATAAGAGGAATAAAAAATGCTCATATATTATTCTAAAATATCCTCCTCTTGTTATTTGATGTGAGATCTAAGCTAACATGAAAAAATAGAATTAAAAAAAGTTGAGGGGTTAAAGTATTAGTGATTTAAAAGTTAAGGGACTGAGTTATAGGCGAGTTATAGTTGAAAATTGAGTCACAACGAGTCATAATTGAAGGATAGAGTTACAAGTAAATTAAAAGTTGGAGGACTAAAAAATTAATTTTTCTTTAATAAAATTTTCTTAGTTGTTTCTGCCTTTTTTGTTGTTGCTGTTTGTAATTTTTTGATGGTTTACTATCTTTTTTATTTTTTCTATAATTTTTATATCATTTTCTGTTAATTTTTAATTAATTAATAATTAAAATTAATTTTTATCAATAATAGAAATTAAATTGTACTATTTTTAAATATTAAAAGAAAATATTACACAAAAAAAATTTAATATTTTAAATATTTTTGGATTTATAGTTTAAAAGTGGCAGGTTAACCCTAAAAACTAATGTTGGAGAAGTCGTGTATTATGCGTAAGAGATTTATAAATATAAAAGACAAATGAAATTATCATAATCGCCGTCGGCATGAATAAACTTTTTGGTTGTCTGTTTCACTTTCACGTGAGTTTGAAATAATTAACCAGATCACAAAAATACAATAAATGGTTTGATTTGCAATTTTAATATAAATAATGCATTATGTTGCCCACCTGCGATTATTGTGGAAAATGGCAACTCAAGTTTTTTTTTTTTTTAAACGTTGTGATTGCAAATAATTGAGGTACTTTTGGGAGGGGGATCAAGAATAAGGGTTGGACATGACTAATCACTCATTTAAACATATTTTAATAAGGATTCAATTTTTTTTAACTGAAATAAGGATTCAAATTTAAAAAATAGAATATTTTAAGGAAATTAAGTTTTGAAACCCAATCCTGTTAAAGCTCTGAAAAAAGGTTAAGACGGCCCATTTTTACCCTTAAAAAAAATTCTCATGGTATCAAAAAAAATATCAATTTTAAATTAAATTTAAATTATAAAATATATATTTATACTTTAAAATTAAATTTTTATTATTTATTTTTAATTTTTAAACATTGTAATTTATATGTTAAAAAAATATGAAACATTGTAATTAAAATTTTTAATTATTGGAAATTCAAAAATAATAAAAACATGCTTACAAGTCCAGTCCTAAATCCTTCAAATAAAAATCAGATTTTGGAAAATGATTGATGTGTGGTACCTGGCTTATGGCTTAAGCCCATATGGGCCGCTATAATCCCTAGCAAACAGCACTGGAAACAAATAACAGTTTACCTATCGTATTCTCACTGCCTAATAAAATTTATGACTTTTTGCCGCAATGAATATTTCATATTTATGAATCATTGTTGACTTCTTGTGCTCCGGGAGAAAATAAAATAAAAATAAGTTTATATCTCATAAAAAGAAATTTTGCATATATAACCTATATTATAAGATCAAACTAAATAAATAGTATAATATTTATTATATTTTATATTATGACTGATTTATTTATATTTATTAATGATATATCATTTTATATCAATAATAAATTTCTTGTAAATTTTTATTGATAAACACATTATATATTAATAATAAATATCTTGCATATCAATATAAACTGGATAAGCTTTTAAATTTTTAAAAATTTAGTCTATATTTTTTGGGTATAAGATCTTTTTTTACCAATGGGTCAATTTATCCTTGTAAAAATAAATTTTTTTAAAGGATTTATAAACTTAAAGATAAAAATAATAGCACTCTTTGATATTGATTAATTTGATGGAGAATGACAATTAAGTACTTCCTAAAAAGGTTAATATTAAATCAAATTTTTTAAAGATTTTCAATGCTAAAACATATTTTTTTAAAATTACGTTATGATAAAATCCTGATTTAACTTTAATTTTTTTATAAAATCTTCAGTTATCATTCTCCTTAGTTTAATGCTATTCAAAATCAAAGTTTTACACACCTCACTGAAAATGAATAGTCCACACCGCTACACGAATGTCATACATAAGTCGCAACTTCCACTATGGTGTTCTGTTAAATACCCCATCCGCTTCAACAAATGCATTAAATATGTAAAAATATGACATACTTTATTAAATTTTCCCTTCAATTAATACCCATAAATTTATAATAGCAAATACCTTCTCCATTAAAAAATATAAAATATTTCTAACTGAATTACATTCTTAATAAGTTAGTTAATTATTTTTAAAAATTTATTTTTATTTAATTGAGTGTTTTGCTTAAAAATAAAGAGTTATTAATTTATAAAGGACATTTTTTAAAAAAATAATTATTAATTTCATATTGAAAAAATAAACTTTTTTATATTTTTCAATTGATGGAGCAATAAATTATTGCAAAGGTAAAATAGGAAAAGTGTTATTCAATTATGGTTTTGAATTTTTTTAAAAAACTTATAATGTGAAACAATTTTTTTCTGAAAATACAAAAATAATTAAATAGAAGAATTATGTATAAAGAAACATATATACTCCTCTACTCCTATTTATAGGGTAGAGATATAAGAAAAAATTTGATCCTATATATAAGCATTTGCCAATTTTCAATGCTCATTTTTACACTTTTATCCTTATTAAATGCTTTGAATAAAAATACAAGTAATAAAATTTAAAAATATTTATAAGGAGTAAAAGTGAAAATTTTCTAAATTTTAAGAAAAAGTTAATGAGGTTTAATATTTTTCTTAATTGTATTGAAACATGCTAAAAGTGATTTATAAATAAAATCAGAAAGAATAATTTTTAAAATCTCTTTCTTCATTTGATTTAAGTTCACAAACACCCACAGAAGTCCATAATTAAATGCTAATAAGTCGCTCCTCTAACTAATTGCTTGCATGCCCTATCATATTTTTTTGCAATTAAATTCTCTAGTTGAATCCCTTGAACTAATTTGATGATTGGCTGTCCTAAACATAAATATGAAACATCTTTAGGCCACAACATAAATATTTAGGGTTGAAGTTCATTCCCTCATAAATTTTTTTAGGAGTATTGGATACCTACTATTGACAATTAGAGAATTTTTTCTCCTAAATCATTTTTTTTAGCAAAAAAAGCCTTCCATAAATGATACATTAAGTCTGTCATTTTCTGCTGTTGCATTTTTGTGGAGCCCGCGCGTTATGATAAGTAGGACCCTGACCCTTTATTAACCATGTTATTTAGTACTAATTAATTTACTCTTAAACTCTCTCTCCTTTGATGCACTGACAACAGAAAACAACAAGCTTAAAAGTCACTCACGAAACGGTGTTTTTTTTCTCTCCAAAAAAATTGTTTAGAAAGAAAAATTTTTCAATTAAAGGTGGCATAGTGTTCCTCGAAAAAGTTACGAGAAAAAATAAATGAAATTTAATCCAACGTACCGTGAAAACGAAGCCATAGCCTCGTTTGAGGACTTGTAAGAGGAAAAGCGTTCGAGTCCACATCATTTCGATGAAGTCGCTCGACATGTACAGTTTCTCGCTCTCTGAATCTCCACCGTCCGTTTCTAATCTGAAGCAGATCAGCCGTCGAAACTGACACCTCTCGTACGCCGTCTGATCAATCGCCACGAACAGAACATGATCGACCAAAGGTCTTGTCCCTTCTCCGACCCAAAAGCTTTCGAGAAACAGGTCAAGCATGGAGGTGTTTTCCTGATCTGCCTCTGCATAGGCCTTGTTTATCACTGTTATTATCACTGTCTTCTCCTTCTTCCCCAACGATGCTCGTGCTAGAGCTGCATCAAGCCCATCTCCACCACCCGCTACATCTATGGCGGCCTGCATAGATTCACACAATCACACGAATGTATATTACTCCCCCTTTTTAAATTATAGAACATTTTTAAAAAAATTTAATATTTTAAAACATAAAATATTTTTAAAATATTAAAGTTTAAATTTAAAATTATTAATTAAAAAATATTTTAAAAAATTTATATTAAATAAAAATTATTAAATATATTTAATGAGATTTATTAATATATTAAATTTAATTTAAAAATATTTAATAATTTAACACGAGTACTTCACTGACTTTGAAAAACGTAAAACAAACCTCTTTGACTAACTTATTCGGAATTACAGTAACTCTTTTTCCTCGTATATGAATATATTAATAATACACACATATACATATATAGTTGATTATTAAGAAGAAAACTGATCTAACAAATTAAAAGAACCAGTTGAAAGCAGTTGACGTTGTGGGCTAGTTAATACTCAAACAGTCTATCTAGTTTAAAACTTAAACAATGAATTGATTGTTTGAAAATCAGTAGTGGATTCATCCAAACCAAGGAAGAGAGAACTTTGATGTCGGATGAGTGTGTGTCTACATACATACATATATACATACATATATGAAGCTCATTTGGGGTTCATCAATGAAAGTGGACGATATAAATAACAGAAATATTGCATCAAGTTGCATCATTTGATAACTAGATGACACGTTGCAATTATGCTGGAACAACACATGACAGAGAATTTGAGATAGTATATGATATGAAGCTGATCTGGAGTTCATGAAAATTCTAATGACAACAGAAACAATAATTATTGTTGTTTATTATCTCATCTGGGCTTTATCTGCTTGCAGTACTAAGGTATGAAGAAATCTGCTAAAAGACTGAAATTAGAGCAAAATAAAATTCAAGGACGATATGGACTTACTGATGAGTTGGGAATTAGGTTCCAAGAAGAAGAAGGGGGATGGTGGTGGTGCTGGTGGTGGAGGGAAAGCAAAGGGTGAGAGAAAGGGAAAGAGAGAAGAAAGAGAAAAGCAGAAGCCACCAGAAGAGAGGAGAAAACTAAGTTAGTGATGGGAGTTTGATTGCGATATTGATCCATATTATGGCTGATCAATATGATTGGCTAGCTAGAATGTAGATGAGTTCAGAATTAGGGAACTGAAGAGATTAGAGAATAAGGATGTGACTTGGGGTGAAGACGGCGATGCAATCCAGTCAGGAGGCCGAGAGGGTCAAAGGTGGGGTGAGAGGTGGACACAGGAGGACTTAAATAGACCAGATGACAAGATACATGCGTCAGTGAGTAAGTAGACTAGAGAGTGTGTGTGAATAATATAGAATAAAAGGCTAGTTTGATTTACGTTCTTAACAGCTAGTTTTCTTTTTTCTTTTTGAAAAAAATAAAATTAAAAAACTTAATTTGAATAAGTATTCTAAATTTAATTATTTTTTAAATTATTTTTTCTTTTTTTGTAAAACAAAAAATGGAAACAATTTAATGTTGTTCTTGTTTATATATATATACATTTTTTTAGGAAACATATACTATATTTAATTATTAAAAATTATAGTCAACTTCATCAATTATTATCAAGATTTTTAAATTCTTGAGTTAACTTTTTAAATTTATCATTTTTATATTTGTATCTTATAGAATCATGTTAACTCACTTATAAATTTGGATTAAATAAAATTTTATGAGTTAACTCTTCGAGTTTATTGTTTTTACATTTTTAATTTATAAAATAATGTCAACTTACTTATAAACTCATACTAGATGCAATCAATTAAACTTGCTAAACTTGTTAGTTTTTAATTGAGTTGAGAAAATTAGATATATGTTGTGTAGAATTCATTTCATAGAATCAATGGACACAGTTAAAGAAAAAAAAAACTGAAAAAGAAAAAATAAATGTTAATAAAAAAGAAAACAACAAAAATAAGTTTTCCTTTTTTAAAATTTTTATGTTGAGTATAATAATCTATCAATATAGGTAAACTTAATTTTAATTATTTATATTTAAAATATATTTAATTCAAATTATGATAATATTTTATATTTTAATTATTTAATCATATATTTTTAATGATTATTTATTAGTAAAAATAAACTCTTATGAGTTTATGATCCAAACCTACAATTTTCATTTATATCCCTATCACAAGTTTACTTGAATCACGAATTTGACAATCTTGGTTACTATATCACAATGCATTAATCATCCGCAGCATTATTATTAATTGATTTTTTTTAACTCTAAAATTAATTTTAAGTTAACATGATCAAACAGAATTTTTTTGTGTTTCATTTTGAAAAATAATTTTAAAAAACTATGTTACAAAATAATTCTTAAAATTAAAAATGAGAATGCAATCAAACAATCAACCCCTAAGAATATATTTCCTCCATTAAAAAATATAAGGTATTTTTTGAGGAGTTAGATGTTAAAAAATGTAAAGTATTTTTAGTCTTTCAAGATGTAATTATTGTCTTTTTTTTTTAGTGTCCCTATTAATAATAATTTTATATTTATTATAAGATATTTAATAGGGATAAATATGAAAAGATAGAGTTAGTTGAAAAATAGATTACTATTTTATTGAATGTAAGATTTAGTTAAAAATGCTTTACATTTTTTAATAGAGGGAGTACTTTTTTGTATTCTAATTATAAGATAAAGTCTTAAAACTCTATTCAATCCTAAATATAACCTAAAAGTGTGATATTTAATTTTTTAACGACCTTAGCCCTCCTTAACCGCAACAAGTTGCTAGTGTGCTTTTAATTTTTATACTGAACTTTATTATAACTATTAATTTCAGTAAAGAATAAAATTAATGAAAGAGCATGTGACTTGTGAAGACCACGATGCAACCATATGGAGAGCGGCTTAATTAAATAGACGACTTGACATTCTAGTTGGATGGTAGATTGGACGGTAGTGAAGTTTTGAATTTTCATGACGTGTCGGTGAAGTCGCCGCACCTATTCCTACTCCGTTTCTTTAATTTACTGCGTTTTGTTACAAAATCCTATTTTATTTTATTTTTTATTTATAGCGTTTTCTTTTTCTTCTCTCGTTACAGCACATTTCTTCGGCTTTATTTTCAAGGTAGATTTTTGAAGCTTTAAATGTGCAATCCATGATTCGGATTACATACTTTAGAAAAGTGTTGTTTCAAATTTAAATCATTTTCATCACTTAGATAGCACCAAGGCATCAATATTAGGATTTTTTTCCATTAGTGTTCGGTCTAAAATCAATGTTTTCGTGCATTAAATCAATCAAGATGCTGATTTATTGAACTATTGTGGTCAAAACTATGCCCACCGATCTCAATTAAAATGACAATATTTAAAGATGTATGAAAAAATAAAAATATTTTAAAACAATATTAAAAGATATTATGAAACTACTCCGTTGGTGCAAATTGTAAGATATTTTTTTTAATTAAAGTTTGGTCCAAAATATAAGATACTTAGCAATTTTAGAAATTATTTTTTTAATCTTACTCTTATATTTATTAACCTAATTTCTTGTATAGCATGAGAATTTATCATCTCTATCCTTCTTACTTTATTTTATTTTGACGTTCCCACATGACATTTCTCATTAAAAAATAAAATATTATTGACATAAATACTCCATTTCTAATTTAATTTATCATTGATGGTTGGGGTTAAGAGTTGAAAGGATAAACTATAGATATAACTAAATTTTAATTATAAGTAAAAGTTACAAACAATTTAAATAGGTGGACGTACTTATTGTCCATTATAAATAACCAAAATTATCAAGTATGTTACATTAATTGTCAAACTCGACCGGCAAAAGCTTTCATCACTGGCGCAAACTAGATTTTTCACGTCACAATTATGGCGTTAATTTCAAAAAGAGCAGTGACAATAAAATATTAAATGGTATTTTCATAAATAGGAGAGAGAAGCAACAAATTATGGTGCTTATTGTTACAATGCAATAGGCACCATAATTGATAGATACAAGTAACGACAAAAAGCATTGAATTACGGCATCTGTTGGTACACCGCAACAGACGCCATAATGAAGCTCCCTTCACCCCAAGCTCGAATGTAATGTCTTCCATACCTTCTCCTTTTAATAAAAAATAAATTAAAAATAAAAAAAAGTAAAAGTAACAAAAAAGTAACGTTTAAAGACTCGGGCCGATCGGGCCGTCACCCGTTAAAAAAAGTGAGCTAAGTCAACCAATTAACCCATATTAGCTATTAACTCGAGTTGAATCGTCTGGAACTGGACAGGTTTTATAAACAAAAAAAAAAAAAAACAGAAACTTGGAATGAGTTTGTTGGGTCACTAGCGGGTCAAAAGGAGGGATAAGATTGGTATTTTCAAAATAAAAAAAAATCCTTATCAGGTTCTCGTATGGACCACCCGGATCCAGTCATTAACGTCCGCAGCCTCGCAGCTCAGACTCAAAAAGAAATTAGCATCTCAGTCTCAGTCTTCTCTTCTCTGTTCTCTCTCTATCTTACATGGTATGTTTTGGTTAGTCATCACCTCCTCAAATCTTAGCCTTCTGGGTTCCGTTTCTGTGGGTCTTCGCCGTTCAACTAGTTAGCTATCTGGGTTCTTTCTTTGTCTTCTTCACCGTTTCTCTAAGTCTCTTCTCTATTCTCTCTTTGTCTTGCGTCTCGCCTTCCCAGCCATTTGGGTTTTGCTTTCGGCTTCTTGGTTGACTCTTGCCCAGGCGTGCAGCTGTCGGAGACACCAAGACAGTTAGACGACGTCAAGCTCAGCATCCTTCATTCTTCATCTTCTTCATTATTCGCTGATCACACACTCTCTCTCTCAGTCCTGGTGACATTTTCTATCTCCCTCATCTATCTCTCTGCCCAATTTAATCTAATGCCCATGGTTTTGAATAGCAAATTAGCAATGAATGAATGCTGATGGATGAACTTTTTTTTTAATTGCTTGAGCTGTTTATTGCAAGATGAAGGATTGCTGAATGGATGAAGAGGAATTTGTTTTTTATTGTCTAAGAGTTGTTTATTGCAAATAGAGATTTTAGTTTTTTTTTCTAGTGATTATGCCTAAATTCTGATCCATTCAAGAGTCTTATACTGTGCTGTCTGCTCTGTAATTTATTCATGGACATGGTTATAATTATATTCATATTTTCCTAATCCATTTGAGACTCGAGAGTTGTTTATTGACAAAAAGGAAGGCTATATTCATATTGTCTGTCTACTTTTAATTTTTTAATTTACTTGTTCAGGTGTAGAAAATGTCATCATCTGATCATGCATCTACTGCTATATCTACTCAATCTATTAAAGCTAAATCATATCCTATGTGGGAGCATTGCACTCAAATACCAAACAAAAAAGGAAGGTGGCAAACCTTGCTTAAAATGCTTGTATTGTGCAAAAGAATTTGCTGGTGGGGGAATTAATAGAATGAAACAGCACCTTGCTGGAAAAAGAGGAGATGCCATTAGTTGTAAAAATGTACCTCATGATGTTTGCTTTTGATTGGAGGAAAATTTGAAAGAGATTGAGCGAAAGAGAACAAAAAAACAAGATAAACCAACAGAAACAGAGGATAGTCTATTTGGGGGGAATGATTCAAATATGGAAGAAATGGCTCCTTCACAGTCTCAAGAAAGGGTGATTGAAGCAAATGTTCCAAGTTCTTCTCAATCAAGAAAAAGGAAGGCATCTGAATCTATAGAGAAGTTCTTTGACCTAAGGACAACCCTAGTGTACAACTAGGAATAAGAAGTGCATTTGCAGGTAAAGAAGCATTGCATAGAGCTGATTTAGCTATTGGTAGGTGGTTATATGATTGTTGTATTCCAATAAATTCTATAAATTCCATTTACTACCGACCTATGGTAGATGCTATTGGTCCTAGTTAGCCCCAAATTACCATGTTGTGAGAAGTTAAATATTGCAAGACATGAAGAAGGAGGTTCAGTTACTAGTTGATGAATGCAAAAGTTTTTAGGCTGAAACTGGTTGTACTATAATGGTGGATGGTTGGCAAGATCAAAGAAATAGGTAGTTGATCAATTTTCTTATTTATTGTCCTAGAGGAATTATTTTTATTAAATCTGTTGATGCCTCAGATATAGTTAAGGATGCTCAAAATCTTTGCAATTTAATCATGGACATGGTTGCATTTGCTGGTGTAAATAATGCTGTTCATCTAGTAACTAATAATGCA